CCCCCCTGCAGGAACGGCGGCCCCAAGGCGGCGGGCCAGCCCCTCCAGGCGGTTGCAGCTGTGGGTCACGGCTCCCCCCACCAAGATGCCATCGTGGCCAGGCTCTGCTGTGGAGCAGGAGTAGGAGCGTTCTCCCCGCACCCGGGGCTGGGGCGTCTCCTCGAAGGGCCCCTGCAAGCCCAGCGTGGGGCTGCGCGCGTGGTGGCTGCACTGCACACAGTCCACGCTCAGGCAGTAATCTGCGCGGCTCCGCTGGATGGAGCGGAAGAGGACGTAGTCCATGGAGCGCATGGAGCCCTGCAGCTCCAGTAGGCATGAGTCCTCTGAGGGGCTGCTGTCCCCAGGAATGTCCATGATCTCCGACATGATTAGGGACCCGCTGTCCATGGACACTGCAAGGAGCAGAGCAGGTGTGGGTGAAGAGCTGCCAGGAAGGGCTGGTCCCCCCATGGCCACTCTCCCACCCCACCAATGCTCCTCTCTCTCTCCTGCTGATGCTCCCAGCATCACCTTCTCCACTGAGCACAATGGAGGGGACACGGTCACAGGTGCAGGCGTGCAAGCCATCTGTCAGCTGTGAGTCGAACAGGGTGGCCTGCAGAATGGCACGGTCAGGGACAGGCAGAGCAGGAGCCCAGCCCTGACAGCTCCTGACCACCACCCCCCCTTCTCCCACCTGGCTGTCCCCCCGCAGCCCCATCACAGTCTCATAGGAGGGGGGGAAGTCGGTCGGGTAGAGGGGCACAGGGCTGTCCATGGAGCCGTTGTAGGTGATACTACGGAGGCAAGAGCAGAAAAGCCTCGTGTGGGATGTGGCTGCTTGGGGGCAAACAGTCCCCCGCTCCTGCACCACAGTGGCCCCCATCTCAGCCAGATACCTCTGCGCGTCGGTCTCAGAGCTGCAGGTGTACTCGGGTGGGTAGTAGGGGGGTGGCGGCACTGGGGGCACAAACTCCTCAAAGTCCATCATGCTCTGCAGAAAGGTCTCGGGGGGGGATGTGCATTCCAGTGTCACAGAGCTTGAGCGCTGGGGAACCAGCTGCAGGGAGAGCAGGGAGAGCTGGGACCCCCCACCCAGACTTCCAGCAAGGGACATTATGTCCTGGGACTTAGCCCACAGCCAGGTCCTGCCCTGGCACCCTAGGGCCCCCTCAGCTTGTGAGCACTGCTTCCAGCCCTGTCCAGTGCCAGGCCATGGATGGGACTCACCACGTGGACCATGTCGAGGGAGAAGATCTGAATGCAGCACACAACAGCAGAGAGTGTGCAGATGATGGTGGAGAAGACCGTCAAGCCACAGACACTGAAGAGGACATCCTGGGGAGGAGCAGGGTGAGCTGCTGGTGCCACAGAGTGTGGCGGCATTTGCAGTGCTCCCAGGGAGCTGCTAATGCCCCCAAGGTCCCTCACCTTGAGAGACACACGGATGCTCGGGCAGTCAGGGTTGGGAAACATGGTCAGCATCTCGCTCTGCGGGCTGCAGGTGGACAGAAGCTCTGAGTGGGCCCGGCAGCAGACACACAAGTCCCCCTCCTGGGAACAAGGAGCACTGTGAAGGACCTAGAGGTGCCATGCTCTCCCCCAAGAGCCACCAGCACAGCCCGCCACCAGACCCCTGCTCCACAGCTCGCCATAGCCCCGGGAACAAGCTGCTCTCAGCTGCCCAGGCCTGTTGCTGGCCTCACCCTCTCGCAGGCTTCCAAAGATTTCACGAGCTGTGCGTTCTGGCAGGACAGGATGGACCCAGCGAGGCTCAGCATGATGCCCAGCACCGACAGCAGCGTGAAGAAGCTTACCTGCAGCAGGGAGGAAAGGGGCTGCCAGCTGGGCAGGGCTGCAGAGCAGGGAGCCAACACAAGTGGCTGCACGTCTGGGGGAATGTGGGGCCACTCTGCCACCCTGCACTGCCCTCCCCAGCCTGGACCCCCATCTGTAGAGGAGCTCCCCCACAACACCTACCACCAGGGTGAGTGGCCGCTTCCAGGAGACGATGCCGACAATTCCAGACAGCGCCAGCTGGGGACACCCAAGTCCAGGAGTGAGGATCGGGGGTGGGGGTCTCTGCCAGGCCAAGGGGCCCAGCACAGGCCTCACCCTTGGGCAGAGCTCCCCCAACCCAGGGGCCTGTGGCCAGCCCAGGAGCAGCAAGACCACAGGGGCAGCCACAGTGCTGCCAGCCTGGAGAAACTGCTGATTCAGGGCTCTGGAGAGCCTGGGGACTGCAGGCAGCACCAGGGCAGGTAGCGAGCATGGGCCAGGGTCTGTGCCATGGGGGACCCCGGGCCTGCAAGGGCCCTGCCCCCACCCCAGGCATGCAGCAGTCTGAGCATCCCTGCTTACTCAGGAGCAGGGCAGGGCTACAGCCTCTCCCCAGCCTTCAGGGTTTGCCCAGAAATGTGTCACCTCAAGGCACACTCCAGCCTCCTGCACTGTCCAGGGGTCCCCATCCCTCAGACACCCTGGGGAAACCTCCGGGATTCTCCCACAATGCACCGCGGTGGCCACGGGCAGAAGGTGGGGGAGCAGCAGGGCTACACTCCCCTGGGACCAGTGGCAAACTTGGCATCCCGGGACCTGGCAGAGCTGGGCTGTATTGGGCCCCTCCACGCTGCCCCAGACTCACCGAGAATCCGGCCCAGGATGGGCAGGAGTGCCGAATCTTGGTGGAGGGCGTGATGGTGGCTGCTACCAGGCTGAAGGTGACAATCAGGACGCCCAGAATGATTTGGATGAAGCCCAGCACCAGCAGGATCTGCAGCCAGGTCCGCTGGACCGGGAGGTGGGTGATGCTGCGGGACGTGCGGCCGGTCAGCGAGCGGCTGGACTCGCTGGGGGAGGGCATGGCTGCCCCGGGCGGCGAGCGGGGCCAACGGGCCCCAGAGCCCCGGGGCAGCCGGCGGCACCGCGCCAGGACGGGGCCGGCCCGGGGGGAGCAGGAACGGACG